TATTCTAAAAGCAAGAAAAGATAATGGGACATCTAACGCTAAAAAGCCACGAAGGCAGCGTATTTCTCTGAGCCTAATAATCCCATTATGATCCCGATGAAAAAAAAAGCTCTCTGTCAAAGCAGGGAGCATTGACGCAAGCATGTCTTGACGTCAGTAGCTGCAGTGAATGAGGGATGGGAGGAGGGAGAGAGAGGAGGGGGGGAAGGGGGAGGGAGGCTTGTTTGCCTTCAGAAAATACCACGAAATACCAGCGTCACTGTAGCTGTGTGCAACATGAGAGCCGCCGCGGATGTGCGCATGAATGAAATAATTATAGCGACGATAATTTAAAAAAAAATTGGCCCTGACATCCAAGCATCCAAGTGAGACTTTTTCTTTTCCTTTTGGAGTGACAGAAAGTAGAAAGACAGCAGAGGTGCTGCACTGGAAATCCAAACCAAATGTAGTAAATGGAACAGGATCCCCCTGACCCGGGAGTGTTCATAAATAAATCAGCATATGAGAGAATGAAGAGGAGAGAGAGGTTGATGGATGGATGGTTGGAGGAGAGCGATGGATGGAGTCTTATTGGATCAACTGTCAGGAAATTAAATGTGTAAAAGTAGAAGTTTGGATAAAAGTAACAAAGCGTGCAATTTGTCCTTTTGTTGCTCAGTGAAAGGGGCTTTTTTGTTTTCTCTGGTATTCAGAGCTGCAGGGGAAAACTAGCATCAAGCAATTTGTAAGCGCCAGAGTGGTGGCGTCACTGCCTCCTCTACATGTATGGGCTTTACGCGCAACGCTGAGAATCTCCTCTCCTGCTGCATTTATTCACAGCTTATTCTCAAGTTGCTCTGCGCACACAGCACTGGAGTTGAAAGGCAAAGCTGCTTGTTCGAGACTGGCAGCACACAATGAGCGTTTGTTCGTCTCATGTCACTCTGGCACTTGGATCAGGAGGTTTTACGCAAAGAGTATCACAGACAGCCCGAGTTTTTTCTACTCGTCCCTGGACTCCTGGTGTAGTAAGAGAGGAGGCAGTGTCGTGCCACGCTCTGCTCCCCGTACACCACATCTGCAGCGCACTGGTTCCAGTGGGGATCCTCGCCTCCTTCACGGATGATGCCGGACAACATTTTCTACCGGCAACTTAGTGTGCAGCACAAATGTCGCCACATGGACGCACGATTCGGCGCACTCACACCACGTCCTGATGATTATCTCCTTGTACATAGTCTGCTCTTCAAGAGACCCGAGAGTTCCCGTTGTGTCAGCTGTGCGTCATCCATGCCTGATTAGACTTGTAGTCTGACGTCGCCGAGCATCATTCAAGAAAAAAAACTACAAATCTCATTCAACAATGAAATTCTTTCCTCTTTTCTTCCAAATTCCATCCGGAGTGACGAAAAACGAAAAGACGTGGATCAACAAGTTGTCTCCAGTGCGTAATTTCTATTTGAGCAGGCTCCGCGCGTAATCCGCAACGCACGTGATCGACAAATCACTTCAGCTGCAAACATTTCTCATTTGTCTGGAGGAATCAGCCTCAGACTGTCCGCGGAGACACATCTTTGTGTCGGACTGTACGGCGGGAACCAGGAGCGGACCGCGGCTGCAGCTCCATGCCTCGCTGCGCCTCCAGATGCTCGGCTGGCCACCACATGGTAACTTTGCGCACACGGCACGCTGGACAGATGACATGTAGAGAGAGAGAGAGGGGATCTGAATGAATGGGACTGAGATTTACTCGCATTTCTCTTCTCGCCTCCTCCCCACAGACTGTTGTATGTGTTGTGTATCCCGCTGGTTGAAGGTGTCTCACGTTATAGTCAGATATCGATTCAGCGGTGGGTAGATCCATCACTGGAACCGGGAGCAGCAAATGTCGAAGAAACGGAAAAGTCCTGACGACCACGGCTTCGAGGGATCTCTGCCTGCAGGACCCAGCGACCAAGGTAGGACATAAGTGATAAGTGTGAAAGTTGAAGTGCTGGTGTGTGATGGAATCAGGGATTGTTTAAACAAGTCCTGTAACTTCTCAGTCCCCTGCAAAGCGTTTATGAGCAGGAGCCACAGTTTTATTGAAGACCTGATCTATGCTGCTGCTGTATTAAATCCAGGAATCATGTCAGTATTAAACCTGTACAGTGACAACACCAAGCTGCCATGCAATCAACTTTCCACTGAAATAAGTACATTATCCCTCGAAAGCGATCTTGTGTGTTGCTGCGGATTACTTTTTTTATAATCTCTGCTGGAGTCACATTTGTGTGAGAGCAGGTTTGGCTGCAGGACACACTTTCATTTTCAGCTGCAGGAGGAAGTGTGCTGTGCTTGAATGAAATGTGTGGCACCACGGTCAAAGAATCTGGGTGAACTCAAACATGTCATTGTTCAGGCTAAGAAGGACCTGTTGATTCAGTAACTGTGTAAAGCTGATACTACTTTGACTTTGGTTGTTGTAGTTAATATGCTGATGCACTGTGTGACTTCAGAGGGACAGTCACAGTTTCATATACCAAGTTTTCTACATTGTTTCTGCATCAGTTTGTCGTTGTTTTATGTCTCTTTTAAGTTGTTTAATGTCTCTAGTCACTTTATGTCTCCATGTGGTTATTTTGTGTCTCTCTGTGCTTGTTTTGTGTATCTCTGTGCTTGTTTTGTGTCTATGGTTGTATTTTGTCTCTTTGTGGTCATTGCTTTGTGTCTTTCTGGTCATTTTATGTCTCTTTGTTGTTGTTTTATTTCTCTTTTGTAGTTGTTTGCAGTGTCTATGTCATAATTCTGTCTCTGTGTGGTTATTTTGTGTCTCTTTTTTGTAATTCTGTCTCTTTGTAGTGGTTTTGTGTCTCTATGCGATAAAACAGTTTCTTGGTGGTCGCGCTATTGACTCCAAGAAGTAATAGTCACTTCATACAGAGGTTCAGTTCAGTGTACACAGGTCTGTATTGGATAGGCCTGTTCAGTAATCCTGACTCTGGTATAGAGGGGGTTCAGGAGGGGGGGCTGTGTGGCTGATTGGGTCTTACTGTTTGAGTAGAAGGTTATTTTTTACTCTCCAACATGAAACACTAAATTAGACCAGTAAGTGTAACAAACTGTGTCATTGCAGGTCCAATCTCTTTGACATTGAACTCCCTGGGGGCACGTAGAAGAAAATCCAGTCATGAGGATGATAACAGTGACTTAGTGTAAAATAAATATGTTGCATGAATTTTGGATGTTAAAGAAAAGCAAGTGTAAACAAAATCCATCCTGTTCTAATGGAATGTGTGCTTTGCTTTCCTCAAAGTCCCATGCGTTCTCATGTAACGTACAGCCGTCTCTGACGTATACCCTTTGTTTGCATATTGATGATTTTCGGGCCAAACCGAGTCGCAGCTGGGTTTGGTTTCTTCTGCTGTGTCCCTGGTTGTGTCGCGGAAAATACCTGTTCAGCACGTGCTTTTTTCATTTTTTGAAATTCAAGCATACCTCCTTTTTCAAGAGGCAGCTTTTGAAACAGCTCGATCGGCAACGTGGCTGCTATTATGCTGGCGGACGCATGATAGGAGTTGTAAGTTCAAGGCCAAGAACAACATCACCTTCAAGCAGAGGGTCGTGCTGGCTTGCATGAATAGTGCTGTAGCAATGGAAACGGCTACCGTGAGGGGTGAGACGTGTGGCGTTTCCTCTGCATCCCATTACTCAAGTTTGGCATCCAGGATCATGATCATGAAGCTGCATTTGTCATTTTCAATTTTCCCCAATCATAAAATTCTGTCAATTATTTACTCTTTTTTTTATATCTATTTTATTAATACTACACTTATCTTACGTCTGAAACTTGCTGGATTTATTTTGTTTTATGCCACGTGATACTTCCACATTTATTTCCTCACTTCTAATATGAAGGCATGCAGCCGGTTATGCTTTTACTTACCCATGTTTTGAGATATCCATCTGGGAGATCTCTGCCTCCACCCACTTTACAATAGAGGTGGAATGGAATTAGTTTGTTGCTCAGATCATTTAACAAAGACATCCTATAAATTCTAATATCACTTCTTAGAAAGAAACAGAACAGTTATCACGAGGACTGTTTCATCTGTAGTATGTATAGTTTCTACTAATCCACAGTGTTTTAGCTGTGTGAGCTATCCTGAAAAACTCCAGACATTTTGGATTTTTACATTTTTAAAATACTGCGAAAACATCAAACAAAATGTCAGAAATATGACAAACATATGTTTTCAAAAGCTGAACAAATAAAATTGCATTCATCCACTGGATGCACTGTTTATTACAAGTTGGCAGAATGAAGACCTAGAAATAAACTCATAGATACTGTGCTGAACTTACAGCGATGGCTTGTTTGTTTGTGCTGAACATGTGACCTGTTTGCATCTCAATCTTTGGCGCCAAACCTTATTTTGGCCCACACTGTAAATGAGAGTTCCCCTTGGCTAACGCAGAAGGAGAGCCGGGCACTTCCTTCCCCCCCGACTGTGCCTGGCATATGTGACTACGTAGGGGGTACACACCCACTGAAACCCTCCCACTCAAGATTTGGTCATGCAAGCTTTAATAAAGGCTCAATACACTGTAGTACACGAGCATGTATTGTTAAAGCAAATACAATTTAAAGAAAGTGTATAAAATAATACATAGAAATAATTGTAAGTTTTTTTGCAAACACTAAGGAGTGATTCATGAAGGCACTAGAGAGAATATTCCCTAGTTTTCAAATTTCTTTACAACATGGGGCAGTAGTGCATTATATTCTGTTCATCTGCTTCTGTTTCAGGTTGACACATGTTGACTCAGTCGGTTAAATGCATTAAATGACACTATCTTCTAATAAAATTGAAGTTAAACAGTTTTGTTTCACAGTTACTTGCTGTTACAGACAATAAATCCATGATGCCTGTGTGTATCATGAACAGTATCTAAAAATTAGTGCCATGTCACTATGGTGCTGCCACTGTGACTGCTCCATCCACAGCCCCCCCCCCCTGAGTGTTCGAGCTTGTATTTTCTCATGGAGATCGTTTTTGCTCGCTCAGAGGCCAGAAGAGGAGGTGTAGAAACAGCGGCATTGAGATTCATATCAGGACCACAAAGGGTTTTTTTGTCCGGACTCTTGGTGCAGCCTGGACCTGTCGATTACAGGGCCACTCCTGGGGCCCTCAGCCGCCCACCAGTCACCACTGCAGCTGGTCAGCAGCCTTCAGCTGTGCAAATGACCTGATCTCTCCCATCACAGTAAGACATTCATGAAATCAAAGACAGAAAGCTTGATGTCCCAATGTGTTGCTAATTAAATTTTTCCAGATTGTTTCTGGTGAAAAAGAAATGAAAGGAAAAAATATATATTTATAGACATATATATTTATAGACATATATATAGATCACTGCATCTTTTCCCGTCATAATAATATTGTACCTTTTCTTTCAACTTTCTTTTGTACAAATATTTAAGGTAGGGCTGTCATTACAACACATTTTGTTGGACAATGTTTTGTTCCAGAAATTATTGTGATAAATGAGATTATTGTCATCATTTTAAAACCATTTTATACCACTGGTACGATGATAATATTATAGCATAATCATGCAAGTTCAACCTTTCAAAGAGCAATGAACTTTTAATTCATAAGAATATTCAGTCTGACATTTGAGTAACAATTAAAAACATCAATAAAATAAACCACACACATACAAAACAATAAATAAAATGGACTCTCTGGCTCTGTTAACGAAAAGTGTGCTAAACTAAAGTATTTGCATCTACTCCTCCCAATATTCACACTCGGGTAGAAACGCCCGATATAACATATTCAATAAGGAAAATGTACTAAAAGGACAGAGCGTGTTATACTGCACACAACTCTCAGTGCACACTGTTAGTAGATCAGCTTGCATGTTTTTTTACAAGTGAAATTAAGTTTGCACACGTTTTTACATGTGCAGACCTTTAGTAGATCAGGCCCCTAGTCTCTAAATATTCATCACTGTGCTTCTGCAAAACAGCTGCTACAGCTCAGGAGTGAAAAACACATCAAAATTATTAGTAATTTATGGATCTTGATGAAAATAATTAGGTTTATTAAAATAACTGATATTTATGACTTGTGTTATGTTATTTGGTGCAGATCCAAATAAAATTCTGGATCTAGTGAATTTAAATGTTGTTTCATTAGGGGTTTGTTGGGCCTTGGCAGAGGGCCTTCAGAGCAAATAGTTGCCATGTCTCCTCCCATCTGACAACAGTGATGGTGCTACCACCTCATTAACAATACGCCAAGAAGAACAGTACAAAGTGGCCTCATCTCCCAGGAACAAAAAGACAAACTGTTCCTGAGACAGGAGCTCAGAGCCGTCATGGTCATCAGAGTTTGAGTTAAATTTTTTATTTTGATGTGAGACTGCTGAGAGAACAGTTTCAGATCTTGTGGATTGATTTGTTCTCATAGATTAAACTAAGGAGCCGCTCAGCATCACACGCTGGCACAGTGTTCCAGTTCACAGGGCCATTTGCCATTCTCATGACGCCAGAGTCCCACACGCGCACACACACACACACACACACACACACACACACACACACACACATCATCCATATTCTGCTCAAGCCTACAGTCCATGGCTCAAACACAATTGTGTGCAGAAACTCTGAGCTGCAGACTGTTTGGAATAAACTCACCTTGTACTAGAACACCACTTAGCGGTCTGAATGAGTATTACAGGTCACAGTAGTTCACGCAAAGAGATGTACCAGATACAAATCCAAAATGTCTTCACATAATTATATATTGTTAAAAAAATTCATATTTAAATGTAAAGTTGACCTTCGATCTCTCTGCTCTGTTTCACACGAGGTTTTCCCTCAGTGTATCCAGACACGCAAAAAAGCCAATGGACACTAGGTGGGGCTAAAGTATAAAGATGAAATGCAGGGAGAGGCATCAGAGAA